ACGCTTTTCCTGTAATTACGGCTATTGTGACAAAAGTCACTACCGATCTTTACATGTATACGGAAGACACAATTTCACACTGGTTTACAAAATGTTTCACAATTACAAAATAACCACCTTTTTTATTCATTGTTACTTATGTGACATTGAGGTACAACAAGGTAAATATATAACAAGTCGTAACATGTTTTTGATTGAAAAAATTATTTTCGTTGAATAGGGACTAAAATGCTGATAACTTTATTAAATATATTTCAAAATGTATATGATTGGGTAGCTTTCTTATCTCTAATAATCTGATATCAAATATCAGTTTAATATCCCTCTATGCCCTTCCTTGTACAATATACATTCCTTATTGACCGACTAAAAAGATTAAAAGTATACGTACATACATATATATACGTAAATAAGTATCGCTCACATGACCGAGCCTCTTTATATCACATTTATAATGCTGATGAAATCATATCCGTAACTTATAGTAGCATATAAGTGCATTCGATTCGGTCTATACCAGATTACATACAACGCAATAAAATCATAATTGTAATACAGGTAAAAGGAAAACCCAAATTCTTGAAGAATTCGATAAGCTTTATTTTTACGATATAGTGGTATTACGATTCTTCGGAAAATTTTACACCTACTCTCCTCTAAGTATGTTTGCAACTTTAATACTGAATTAACATAGAATTTAATTAACAAATTCAGTAAACAGGAATTTTCAGACATTTGTAAATAAAACAAACAAAAGCCTAAAAAAATGAGTTTTGAAAGCTGTAACAACCACTTTAGGCTTACATCTGTAAGCAACTGCAAGCTATGCACTGATGAAACATGGAAAAAACACACCTTACTATGCAAACTTCACTTTTCTCAAACTCTCAGTTTTTTTTTTCTTCAATGTATAGTTAATAGCATGTTCATCAAAATGTTTTTCCACAGCCACCTTCAAACATCTATATAATCAGTCATAGGTAAAGTTGACTCCCTGATGAGCGATGTTCATGACAAGGTTATCAACAGATAATGGGAATTTCAGAAAGACTCTCTCTCCACCTTTCACCTCTACAAGGCATACTGTTGCATGTTCAAAGGCAGGGGTGAAAATATTATCTCCTGTATGTGCAGATTTAAACAGATTTGTTTCTAACTCAAGACTTCTGGAAAGCCAGGCTTGGTAAAGATAAAGATTCTTACAATGCTGTGATGGTAGCTCTGACTTACACAGTTAATTGAACCTAGTTGTACGTCATTAGATTACCAGACTGAACAAAACTCTTGACACTATTGTATTAATGAGGACATAAATTTAATTACAAAAAATTGAATAAATTATTTTTTTGCTGTTTGGAATGTGAAAAAAACACTTCAGACTTTATAAAAATTTCCTCTCTCTGACCACAGTCGAACTGTGTGCTCTTTATAACAACGGTTTTTAGGGTATGACACCAAAATTTTCCTGTTCAAACCAATATTTACACATCTAATGTTCATTTAATGACACTTATAATTAAATCATATGTTTGCCTAACCAAATTTACAATTCGAAATATTTAAAAAAACCTCAAAATAGTGTCAAATACTACCACAAATCATGAGTTCTATGACAAAATACACATGTACCAAAATTGTAGGCGAATAACAGGACAGAACAGGACATTTTAACCAAACCACTATAGTGCTATCATTGTGACACACCTTCCTGTTATAATATTCCTTGACACAACTTCATGTTATAATATTCCTTACATTAGATTGTTCATGATAACTAATCTACAACCTTCAGCATAATACCTAGCCATCAAAAGCTTTCATTTACTGCCTGTTTACATGGTTTTAAATGGCGTGATGGGAAAAACTTCTACAAAAACCCGTACAGAACTCAAAATTTTAATATCGAGAAACCATGTATTTTATCAATGCATTATTCATATATATCAGACTTTTTCATAAAGAAACTGCAACATGTTTCTTAAAACTATTTGCAAGTTGCTATTATGGGTTAAATATTGCTTTCTTTAAGCAGTATAAAGTTGTTCCAGATAGTTGTATACTATGTTAACCTCTGCTGAACTTTCCTGTTCAGCAAGGGGCCACTGATGCCTTCAACATTCTGCCAAAATCAAGAGCCCTCTCTATTCTTCTAAAATGCCTCAAGGTTCTCATCAATTCTGTGCTAGTCTTGAGACTGTCAATCCTATTCCAGTCTGAAGGCTGCTCAAGCTTAGAGGCTGCTAAATTCTGAATCAGCTGGGTGGGCTGCCTAATTCTTCACAAACATTCAGACTGCTTTGCCCGATTTTGTCCAAGTTTAAAGATTGCCTTAATCTGCACACACCTTCAGGCTGTCTGGACAATTTTTGTCCAATCCTTAATATTTGCCTTATCCTGCACAAGCCTGAGGAAGCCCCTAGCCTAAAATCTTCCTGTATCTATGTAAGCCCAAAATCTTCCTTATTCTGCTGAAGTTAGTAGGCTTTAAGATCCAGCCTTAACATGGGGTGTCCTCATCGAACCAAAGCCAGGGTTTCTCCAATCTGCCAGTGCATGTGACTGCTAACAATGCTGCTAGACTCAAGAAGTAAAAGATACCACCAGCTGTGTTCACATGATTAGAAATGTAAACACAGAATGGTATCCTACACTTACAAGAGAATTTCTAGAAGAACCTCAGGTTGGTACACCAAAACTCTGCACATTACTCCATCTTACAGCCTGGTTACACGAGACATGTTCCTGCAGGAGAGAGCCTTATTCTGTGATTTCACGTTGATGGTTGGTGCTTTTGAAAATTTGAAATTTCTTGATGACCATCATTTTGCACTCAATGGCAAATATAAATACACATAACCTAAAGATCTACCTACTTTTGAATTCTGATGAAACTACTACTATTTCTAAAATATCATGCATCTACTGGTTTCACAGATGTTCATGCCAATTTAGTTACTGTTGTCAGTACCATCCATACAAACTAAAACTCTTTAATATTAGCACTTACACTTATGCCTGACCACTACATAATTATCCCAAAATGTCATGAAACATTAAACCACAAAAAGCTATTGTTCTCTTTAACAGGTCATTCACCCATCAGCTACCAGGTAAAATGGTCTAACATATATCTTAACTACCAATCAAATCTACAGGTACACTACTGCCCACAAGAGAAACACCTATTTCTACCTGCTCAAAAACTCTGCTTGCAATGCATTCTGTATAGTATTTTTTATTTATTTCATCTTTAAAAAACATTTGCAAAATTGTCTAAAATCGGTTTTATCTGATGATTTTTCAGATGAAATAATTATACTTCACACCACTGCCTTCATTTCCTACTTGAAAATATTTACTCAAGTTCAGAAAACAATGTGATCCCCAATTCATCTTCTCATTCAAAATTAAAACATTATTAAGGATACAATAAAAATAATTACTAAAATTCACATATTTTCAATTCCTAACTATTTTTTTCCTAGCCACAAAATCGTATTTATTTCCTGCTGCATTGTATTTTAAGTTTTTTTAACAAAATTTTAATACACAGATTATAGTAAAAAAATTCATTTAAAACCTGATAAAACCCTTCTAAATAATCGAGAAACAAACAAAGCGATTATTTTACCAGATTATTCCGTACATGTTATATTTCCATAGTAATAAATCTTTTTTTCACCGCAACATTCCCTCTCCTGCTTATAATTACATCCAGACAGAACAAAGACACTGTGAAATGTGTATGTAGCTTATGTACCTACATAATCACCGAGAAATCATCAAGCATGTGTACCTGTGTTTAATATACACAAACTGATACACCCCTCCTCCTCCCCGAAAAAAATACTTTTTTATTCGTTCCCGGAAAAAAAAATTGATGATTCACTTAGGCAGTTGGAACACATAATCTCATTATCTAAGCACTTGAGAATAAAATAGGGAAAGTGTTCCATTCGGCACTGCTGGTGCCGAATGTTGAAAAAAAGCCGAGCAGAGGTGAAAATCATGACATTGAATCGTAACTACATTTTAAAACATAAAATTTGGAACGTTTCAACACTGAGTCCTAAAACTTTGATTGTTTCATGAGGATACTTTAAAAATTCTGAATTATCAGATCAGATTGCATTTTTAATTAGATAAATTAATACATTTCTTACTTATCACCTAAAAATAAAAGAACTCTTTATTTATTCAGTCATAAAAATTCAAGAGTTTGAATTAAAATTTTCTTTACATGTTTTTCTCGGAAGCTCATTCACCTGCTTTTAATAGTCTATTACCAAATCATTATTTAGTTTCAAAGCATTTAAACACTTAAGACTACAACAACGTGAATGAAACGGAGATGCATCTTAGATTCTATATTAACACTCTTCTCTTGCGACCCCAAAACAAATTTACCAATAACCCAATTTCACAGCAAACCAAACTATGCATTCTTGATTGACACCGTGTTATCACATGTTGATAGAAAGAAGGGATGTGTCATCTATATCAGAGTTAAGCTTTTTATCTAACCAGCTGTTGCAACACGAGAGAGAAAAAAAGACATACGTGTGCACCTATGTAAAAACAACTGTAATCACCTAAGGTTTCAGAGAAAATTATTTTGCAACACATGTCAAAATTGCCCCTGATGGAATGTTGATAAGAACTCTAGATAATGGTTAAATTTGTGTTTACTTATCAGCAAAAGCAGTGAGATGAATTTGCAGGAAGAAGATTCAAATTTTGAAGAAGGTTTCAGGTCTTGAGAAAATATTATCGCACAAAAATTGCATAAATAAAACTGTTCGATTCCAAATTTACAAAAACTTAATAATTTACCGAATTCCTTCTTTCTTTTTACTATTTAAAACACTTTAATGCTAGGATCTTGTATCAGGTATTGTACATGTATGTATAAATAGTTCGACTGAATGGAATATTTTCACATCGTGCATCAATGTCAAAAGAATTTCTGCTGTTTATGCATAACCAACACAAATACTTACAGTCTACACGAGTCTGACCCGGATCCATCATCGCCTTCAAGACGGTACACTTTTCCGTACATCACATACTCGAAGCTATCAGCACGTGACGGACCTGTGTCTGTGGGGTTAAACTCATTATCAGCTGGAGTACCATCTTCGTTCAGTGTAACAGCTATTACCATTCGGAACTTGTCCGCTGTAAAAAAAATTAAACCGTGGTAAATTACGTAATTTCTCCACAGCAAAATGTATGAACAAAAATTTATTCAAAGCCACATAAATGTACATTCAGGCATGGCTTACATAGTCATATAAAATGTAACTGCACAGTGAGTGTTTTTACATGTTTGAACCAAATTAGTAAAATTTTTATTTATGACCCTACCTGTACTCCATACTCAGACACATTCTGTACCATTAATTTTGTGTCACCCTATCTAACTCATTTATTAAACAAAATAGCAGTCAACATCAGAATAACAATCATCAAAAATTTAAGAAAACAAAATATAAAATTTCTAAGTAGTATTTATACTAATAATGGGAGTCCATAACATGTATACATGTATTTGGAGAAAACCAAAAATTTTTTTTGTAAACTTACATTATTAAAATATTTAAACTTAACATCGTCCTTTTAAAATCAATATCCAATATATCAAACTTTTTTTCCATACCTCTGTATAACGTCTATACTTATAAAACAATAAAATAAAAACTCTCTCCCTGTAAATCTTAAACCTATTTCAACAGTTTATGTCCATACATGTACATAAGCTTTGGCGAGATTAAGTATGTAAAGATATATGGCCGTTTTATATAGTACCTGTACAAACATGACACAGCTTGTGTTAAATACGTGTGTGACTCAACCGCAATCTTTAACTTGCCTATAACTTAATTTTAGCCCAGGTGGGGTACATTTTACAATGGCAGGTCTGTTACAAAAAACGTTTCTCCTATTCACAAAAACAAGATTAACTGATTGCCTTTATTCGAAATTTATCTATACCAATGTATAAAATTGTATATAAAAGTAATTTTTGCTTGGAAACCAAATATGCGGCTAATTTTTGTACATAATGATATTAATTTATGTTTGTACATGTTTCTTTATACTCTGACATAATTAGTTTTAACTTGGGACATTTTAAGATTTACTGGACTGGAAAAATACCCAAGATGAAAAAGATAAATGAAAACGTTTAACAACAGGTTTTTTTTGTACTCAACTGGTTAAGGAAAAACTTTAAAATATAGGTCAACAATTGAAATAATTAAGTGATTTTCAACAAAACATTAAACCAGCTATTAGATGTCACTGTTGCAAGGTTTTTACTTGTTTAACATAATATAACAATTAGTTTTTATATAATTCTCTCAAAGGGAAATCCAATGACCAGGGTTTTATAATAGCTAGAGATTTTTCTTAGCCACAATTTGATAAAACTGAGCCTGTACTTTTTAGTCAACCCCCTCAACTAAGATGTGTATTACTGATGCATTAAGCTTGGTAATGTCTACTTTTACCTACAAAATGTACCTACATAAGTTTCTATTTATAATGAGAACAAGTTCTGGCTGGATACTGTGAAGGCAGTGTCATTTACACATAATTATACCAGTATTCCTACATTCCCCGCATAAATTGGCTTACAACTAACATTACTTTCCAGACCATATGTTTTTATGCTAAATCTCACAGATAACAAAAATATCAATAACATAACGACCCCATCCCCATATCCCATTGAAGCAATTCATAAATTTACTGCCCCAACACTCAAAAAACATACATGTACTTGCATATTTTTTTTTAAAATCATTCATTATTCAAAAAATACCTTTAAAAAAAATACATCATGAAAATCACACAATATTACAAAATCACTTTTCATTTTGAAAATATTACTTATTTTTCGAGGCAGATATATTTTTTTCCTAAATCTGCATTTAAATTCTATGACAGGACCAGACTGTTTTAATTTCAATCATAAAGGAATATGTGTTTTCTTGGGTTTATACTGAAGTAGTTTAAATACATGTCCAATACAATAACTGAGCATGCAGGACTATATAACTGACCTTTGACTATCCCATCAAGAGATTGACACTCATAAAATCTCATAAAAATATCGAATCCTTAAAAAAATTAAGCTTTCTTTACATAAGTCAAATTTTAGGAGCAGTGCCAATCCATCTTCAATAAATGAAATTAATTTTCTATTCTGATGAAAACTTTCATGGAATTTTTTTAAAAAAATTGCAGAGATTTTGCAACATGCATATTTTGTTCTCAACAGGATCTGTTCTCGTAATTGATTATAATCAGATGGTTTGATCAAGTGGCAACTTGCCCTTGCTATGAAATACACTGTATTGTAGAAAGTAAGTAGGTATACAAATTGAAAATTTCTATCCAATTAACAAAGTGCACGGAATAAAACATACAAAATCAATGCTTTACTGTCATGGGTAATTGGAATTTGATAATAAGATGTCTCTTATAACATACATGCAGCATTAATGAAATAAGAAAATAGTGTCTTTGGCATCTATTTCCAAGGCAACATTAATTCATACTACATGTGTATAGTTACAAAAAACTGTAGTTTTTTACAGACATCTCAATTTGTCATTATCTATAACAATGTATAGCAACTTTGATACAGTGTTACTATATCATGGATGATATGCAAAATGAAAATATGGAAACAAAAGGAAAATTCATGGTGCATTTATCTAATATTATGATATACCTTAAACAGAATAAATATGGTAAATCATTAGAAATATTCATTTGCCTCATAACCGATTAATTAACCAATTTCAATACAATCATTGGAGGTTGTTGTTAGTAATTATCCTTCCTCTTTACTTAGTTAAAGTTCTGTCCTGAACCAGTGCTGCTTTAAATTTCCCTGAGCTTATCCATTTTTATTTTAACCTTTACTATTATGGACCTAAAGTGAGGAGCCTTTGCCACCAGTATAGAGCCAGGCCATGCAGCACATCTGTGTAATTTGACAAGGCTCTTTACTGTTGGCTGACAAACTTATAATTTTCATCTTGACATTCCCTAAATTGATAATGGACAGTTCAAAAACTGGAAGGTGGGCAAGTCCATGTAAGAAATTCAGCAGGTTAAGGGGGTTAAAAGAGACTTTCTATGAAAAAGTACTGAAATGAGGACAAAACAAGGCACTTGAAACATGTATTTACTAGCCTATCTCTAATAATCTTAAGCCTTTTGGTGATGGCAGCAAGATCTCAGAGTAAAGGATGTATTTTACTTGGCAAAACTTACCGAGGTCCATCGGATAAAGCTGAGTGTTCACGTCCAGAATGAGGTCCATCTTAAACGACTCGCTCTCACAAAACAGCCTCGAAACTGAAATAAACAAACAAAATCTCTATACAGATCCATTACCTTAAATGAAGTTGTTTTTTCAATTTCAATCAACATGAAAACTTTTCACTTTCTGTTTTGATGCGTCAGACATATACTTCCAATTTTAACAAGACACTAAAATATTCATAAAATTTTAAGGATAAAATATGCTAACTCATGTAAGTATCTCCTTCATAATAAGTGTATTCACATGTTTCATCACGGTTAACAATACATCTACCTCTCATACATAAATACACCTACATGTATATACATTATATCATATAATATATTAATAAACTATTTTGATCTCATGTACTGTCTATTACATCATCTGTATTTATATAATTGGTTCATTTATTACTACACACCTACAACTTCCTTTTTTGGCAAATTTTCAAATAAAAATATTAATATCAATACTACATACTGCAGAGAATTAAATTTTCTCTTTCTATAATAACATACTGATATCTCAATTTCTACCCAATAAGTGGCCAGAATTTACTAATTACTACAAATCTGGTCTAGGTTTAGCACAGTGACCTTTAGTAACCCGGTGCAGTGTTTTTGAGGACAAATCTTATAAATGTGTCAGACAATACCAATTACTCTTCTCAGCACATCCCATCGGCAGAGAGAAATGGTCCAACATTAAAATGCACTGGTCATCTCTACTTAAACCCTTGACCACCCTCCTAATTGAGAGGTAAAAACGTACCGAAACTTAATTTATAACCTTTTGACCAAACCGAATAAATGATGTTCCGACAAGCTTCTTGACACTTTATGCCCATCAAAATTCAGAACCCAGCCAACAATTGCTAATGTAAAAAGTTTAAAATTTATTGCCTTAAAATGTATTACTGTATCCTAACTTTACAATTAACATCATCTATACCAGATATTTTTCTTTTTTTTTCAATGACGGAAGTATGTTACACCATTACCATGGTAACTAAAAAGCTTTAAAACTGTACTCAAATTAAAACGTTCTTCACCAACGGCCTCATGACACATACCAAAGAAAACATAGACCCTTTATATAATTCCAACATTCATATACCCACTGTGATAAATTCTTTAAATATCGATCAGTATTTTGATCGGTATTTCAGCGGATCAGTTCAAGCCTCAACATAACTTATAAATAAATAATGGTGAACATGTCATGTTATCTCTCCCACAAACTATTGCAAAAGCGACACTTTTAAGTTCATTGAATTTGACGTGTATTCTATTTAAAGATCAAAGACAAAACTTTAAAGATATCAATAAAGAATTTTTGTCCCAGTGCCGTTACACATGTAGATTGTAAAAGAATTTTCATTTTTATAAAAAATCTCTTTTATGACATGACACAAAAATGTTCATTTATTTGTTCAATGTATAGCAAACTTTTTTCTTAATATTGTACAAATACTTGGCCCCTTGCACTAAATACTTTTGTGAAAGAATTCCAATACAAGATAACTGTATATCCCAGTATGTCTGTAATTACCTTTCTTTTATAAACTGTTAAAATAAATAGCTTTTACCTCTCAATAGTTTATTGAAATATCTGTGTGTATTGAATTTGTGAAATGTAACATGTTATAACATATCCTGACCATTCTTTGTAACGGGCTTAAATTATTAAAGGGATAATAAACTGTGTTTGAAGAGGACAAACAAATAGTTTTAAAGCACGTTTACGAACATAGGACTAGCTACATGTACATGCATGTGCTAGAAATTTTCCAATGAGAAATTACAGGGAATTGTAGATCAATAAATCAAGAGCTATCGGGTTCAGTAATGTATAAATCTATAGATTTACTGAATGTATAGATTTTTACACTGATACAGGTTCTATTTCTATAGCTAGTTGAGCTTTAGCTTGCATTTATAATAGTATCCTACAATAAACGAAATTACTAATATTATATCGACTTACGACACACAGGTAAAAAAACCCTAGATTTCTATACATATCATTTACTAGATTATCCCATGATCCCCAGTATTGACCAAGCTGGCATATTAAATGAATTCTCTATCATAATGTGATATCAATTTTATCAAGTTTAACCTTAACTGTTCAAGTTCCTTCTCTTTTTTGTCATTAATTTTCATAAAATTTAACAATACTAAAAGTCATTGTGTCTGGATTAAATGTCCCTAAGGCCTAAAATCTGTGTCTTATCTTTTATTTATCAAGGAGATAAAAAGTGCAAAGACACAGAAACAAAAAAATGGTCCATATTTTTCATAAACCAATTTTTCACCTGTCATTTTAAACCCTTGTTTTACCTGTCACTATAGACCTATATTTGACCAAATTGAAACATTCCATATCTGATAATCAAGATGAAATTTGGCTGGTAGATAAAACATCCTATAGCTATGACACTATCAAACTAGGAATGCACATCATGTATAATCAAGTCAATTCATGTCTGTACAACTTCACTGATAACCTCTTTCATTTATAATACACAAGATATAAATTACCTTGTACAAAATCCTTTCATTTTATCCTCTATTAAAACTAATATCCACTTGTATTATAATCATTGTAATTTGATCTTATAATTTTTTTCCTTTCGATTTTTTTTTAATTTTAAAACGGTCTATGTACAGATTTCTATAACAGAAGTTTCAGATATTAAACATTTTACCAAATACCCCAGATGACCTATCATTTTAAGGACTTAAATTAACCCTACATTTTCTTTCCTTATTAGGGATTGTCTAAAAAATAAAAGGAATTTAAATAATTTTCCTGCTGCACAGAAAACAAGAGGATTTCTAACTTCAAGGATTAGTATCTTCATTTCATCTATAATATTCTTCATATAGATATACCATGTTCCAGCTGTGATAACTTCAATGTATGTTCATTAAATATAAATCATTCTTCTATTTCTACATTTCACATTTAAGTATTGCATCACATCTTATAAGTAAGAATATCCCATACTCAGCTCTTCTTTAGAGTGATACACATGTATAACAGTTTACAATCCAATGTAATATAGTACTTGTATGTACCTACTAGCAGTATCTAAGTTAAATCCCTGTCTTCATATTCTATTATTTGATATTAACCACAATCATTATCAAATAATATTAAATTATTAAAAGTAGAATAAATCATTTTTTTAAGTCCAAACAATTTGACTGTTTTACACAACAGTCCAAGAAGAACTAAAGTCATTTATCATTTGGATACAATATATACTTCTTCAATACTATAAAATAATGTGTATCTTTCTATCAAATGAACCTCAAGTTTCTAAGAACAAGTTAAGTAGTTATCTAAAATCTTGTTCTCACAATTTTTGCTGAGTGTACATTTTTCTTTTTTTTTCTATATAAAATTCTTTTCTGTTATAAAGATAAATCATTTTCTATTGTTTAACATGTATATATTTAAAGTTTCAAAGACACCTAAACTATCTAAATTATCTTTCTTCTAAACCAATAAAAACAAAGAAGCCAATATAAGTATAGATAATACATTCCTAAATATACAAAGTCATTAAAGAGTAATGCTATGGCATATATCTTTCATAATGAATAGTAAGATAATATTGTCCAAACAATACCTTTATAACAATATAATTGGAATTATTTCAAAAATGTTCACGGGAATTATTGAATTGCTTTCAAATGCACAATGCCTACTCATTGTATGGTATCTGAAAATTGATCAAAGATCTTTCTCAAATATAGCCCCCCTAATATCTTAAGAGTTGCTTTAAAACAAAGCAATGCCATTGTCAACCATTGTTGCATGTAACTCTTTTATTCTCCACTATACTATGAAAGAATTGATCTTGATATTGAGCAAGTTTGTCTATGTTATTCCTAGCAACCCTACATGCATGACACAACTTGATCAGAAATTTAGCTCAAAGTCACTGACTCTACAAATACAATAAAATAAACCAATACTACATTTATCTGAGGCTAAGTTTAACTCAATCAATTCATGCGTTTATATATACACACAAGTACAATTTGCAGTGAACAAAAACAAAACCATTTCAATTTTCAAAAATATCAAACACGCATAAATTTCTGAAAAGCTACATGTCAAAACCTGATCAAAGTGCAATTAATATCACATGAAACCATGTATTGGTAAAGTTTCAACAGTACGATAAAGTTAACTGTGAGCTATCAAATAATTGCTATTAAGAACACAATGTAGACAAATCTATCCTAAACTCATAACATTATCAAGCCTAAGCAAACGCATTAATCAAACTACTTTCAAAAGATTTAACAAACCATGAAACGCTTCATTGCATCTGTAAGATTCAACAGCATGACCTCCAAAAATACAAAATTGTGAAATAATTCTAACCTGATTATGCATCCATAAGTTCTGCTAATGCCAACATCCAGTCTAAATCTTGGATTTTCTGTCTATTATCAGGCATGGTTTAAAACTATCTACACAACCCTGAAAGTCTGCAAAGATGTTACTGCAAGACAAGGGTGTGTCTACTCGATCCCAACTCTGTCCACTGAATGACAGAGTACCCTTACCTACCATGGTTAGTTATGTGCAAGCTATACCGATTTGGCCAATCAGAATGTGAGTTCTGGGCAACATGTTTAAACCTGAGGCAAAAGACCGGTAAAGTCCGTTATAGACGTGTACAGATTAAGATCAATAATCAATAGGATATAAGGGAGTAATTGGCAACCAATTTACCTTAACAGAAAGACAGGAACAAGATGAAACAAAGATTATTATATCAATTATTATTAAAAAAAACTTATGCAATTCCTTTGTCAAAATTGTCAAAGGGGAGATGATCATCTCCGAGCCAAGTTTAGCAGATTATGATCTGTTATCTCATGAAGTTACATTGGCAACTGTCACATAAATTTATGAAGCGATCTATGTGGTATAAACGGAATTTTGCTTACCTCTGTCGAATTTCTTTCCATCAGGATCGATGTCTTTCACATCAAATATGTCCTCAAATAACACGCCCGCCATGTTTTAGGGTCAACAAATTTTCAACTGCTTATAGTTACGTATGACGAACGATTCGATACAAAATTCTATAATGTGAATATGCAGTGGGGAATATTACAACTAAACACTTATGTTCAGCAGCATCTTTTTCTTAATTAATTATTAATTCATTGAATAATTAATGAAATTCTTGTCTCGACATGAAACATCTAATACCGGAAGTCAAATGAAATCGTACATAATTTATCTCACTAGAAGAGTTCTTTCCAAGGGAAGCAACTATGATGAGGCCACACAGAGGGAAATAATGCTGTGAAACAAAATAATTAATTAAATTCTCTGATCCAAGTATTCATCATTTAAATATAATGTTTCATTTATATATGCCTAACACAATTAAACATACAAATACATGTATGTGAATGAAATAACACTACTGTAGGCCATGCAGTATTATTATACGATGGTACAATATCTTTAGAAGTGTTTGTAAACTGTACTTTATATTAGTATGATGAAAAGTTTATGTTGACTGCAAAAATATAATATTGAAACTATCTTCAATTGCCTGTCCCATTATATCATGCCCCCAGATTCCACAATTTTGGACTTTCATATAAGATCTAATAAGGTAAATTAGAAAAATTATATATTTTTTTAATTTTAACAGAATGTTGTTTAGTTTTACATTAATCATTTCTGTGAAAAAATTGAGATAAAAAATTAAGAAAATCGCTCAAAAGGTGATATTTGAGAAATGGTAACATATATAATATTACCTCCCTTTATTTAAAATGCATTTTTGTTTTATATTAATTGTGACTACCCATAACCATATAGCACCATGAGCTGGCCATGTATAGGCTCAGGAGTATACTTAAATTTAATTCTCAAACTTTCAGCATGACAGTCATGCTTTTGAATTATTAAGCTCTCACACTCAATTTAATCATACATGTGAACTTTTTTCAATGATCAAGTGGGAGATTTTCTTCAAAAGGAGGGAGATTTTAGAATTTGCAATAAACAAAGAAGGAAGTTCTGACATCAAAAAATAGGGAGATTTAATTTGTGAAAATGCCCCTTATTTTAAGAAAAATCTTTGAAAATATGGCTGAAGAAAGTGTGAGTCTCCCGCCTAAAGTAGGAGAGTTCACCTGTATGTTTAATCTCAGGAGCAAAATGCATGAGCACTTAATTAAAATCAAATATTGAAATTCCTTGGTATTTCATACAGATATTAATGCTTCCCCTCTTTATTGAAGTTTTAAACTCAAGTTAATAAATAAAATATTTATTATTCACTCTTTGTATCACAAAATAATGAAATTGCACACATAAGGGAGGTAATCATTTATTAATCTGTTCTGCATAATACATTGTACATGTATGTGCATGACTGTATACATGTATGTACATGTACTTAAAATTCAATACTTTTCATACCTGATATTTTTAGTGATATAGCAGTAATGATCAACTATATAGTGTAATTATACTAAAATTAATCTATTTCCTAATGAATAAATTTAATTCATACAACTTTACTTGAAAAGCCATAAGGACCCATAATATTGAATTTTACCATCCTTTTATATAATGTACAGGAATGTGTGTATTTCATGTTTGTAAAATTTTAGTTGCTGTCCATTGTCCATATTTTATTTAAAACCCCTTCAAGTACCATATTTGACAGTTTTAACTGCTTACAACTGGATAATTCCTTCCACTGCGTAATTAATTAAATGTTAAAAATCTTAACTTGGCAATCTCATTATATTGTCGTATACAAAACAAAATAAAGTTTTACGTATTGTCAAAAGGTATGGTTTGAAAAATTAATTCACAATGCAATATTTCATTGAATTAAAAGGGCATAGTGGATGGATTAGTTATAATTAATTATCAATTAATATGAAAGGTTCTTCATCAAATTTAGGTGTTCAGTTAATAAGATATTTCAATGATTTGTTTAAAGATTACATTGACTTTGTGACGGCTGCCAATTAAATTTGTTCCATGAAATTATTATAAACAATAGTATGAATTCAGCAAATTTGACTTGGATTACTTTGGAGGGGGAAAACAAAAAAGAATGTAGTTCAGGACTTTGGAAGTTAAGACTTAAGTTATATTTTATTTGGTTTAATACTACAGTAAACCAGTTTGGTGGTTCCTGATGCATTGATAAACTATTAAAACATAGAAACAGTCCTTTTATTATGCACCAGTTTAAGCTTATGCCATTTTGTCTGTCTGTTTTGATCCACTGCTACTCCCAAGGTTTTCTTTAAAATGATGCACTTTTCCTAAAAAAATCCAACTTAAATCAGCTTTTTACTTTACCAAATCAGCAATTTTAGCCATAATTTTTCAAATTTTTTCCCAATATCAAGAGGCTATTAAGGCCTCTTCCTAAATTTAGAGAGAAAAATCTAATAAACTCAAAACCAAGACTTTGATATTAGTTTAACCCTTAATCTGCTCACAGGCAGCGAGTGAATATACTTATATAACCAGTGCAGACCAAGTCCAGCCAGCATGTCTATCCTGCCTGACGATTTCACTCTTTGCTATTCTAATTCAGTCAGTACATATTTGAGCCACGTCATGACAAAACCAACGTAATGCGTTTGCGACCAGCATGGATCAAGACCAGTCTGCTATCTGTGCAGTCTGATCAGGATCCATGCTGTTCGCTTACCAACTCTTTTACAAGTAGAGAAACTGATAGTTAACAGCGGATGCGCAGACTGGTCTGGATCCATGCTGGTCGCAAACGCATGGTTTTGTCGTGATGCGGCTCATTTCTGGAATTTTCCCTAAAATGATGAATGGTTACTGGATCAGGCAAAGGTTTCACTGAAACAGGCAAAGGTTTTCATAAGATATTGTAATCTGAATGAAATAAGAAAATATAAGAATAAAAAAAATTTCACCATCTCAGTATTGTTACTTTGTCCTATCCTTTGAAACCATCATTTCCTACATTTACACTGTTGGTGTTGTGTCTCTTAAGCCTGCGCTGTGTGAGCGATGAACCTTGCACCTTCAATTACCTCACAATATGAGGCTTGAACCAAGTCTGCAGTTTTACATATACTTTTTGTCTTACAGGATTTAATTAATCTTTGTGGATGTAGTTATCATAACATTATTGCAACTTAGTTATTCAATCAGCAATTTTGAAAGGTTAAATTTAACACTTGTTTTTCAAATAATTTGTACTATTTTATATTTAAAGCAGCACGCCTCAAGATTCATATTAATTTTCATAAAAATTTAGAAGTGAATTTGAAAGTAAAATATTATGAGGTAAACAAAAATAGTAATTTATATTTTTCAATCAGCACTTACAATCCTAGAAAATTACCAAAAAGTGGTCAAAATATGCAAAAACAGCCCTTACTGCGTTCAGTAAGGAAGTAAAAATATGGTGATAAAATACTGCAAAATCAGTCTTAAACTGCACATAACATGTAAAATACAACTTGGTTCTTGAAAGTTTTTACCTTTCTTAAAATTTTAATACATTCTTCTCAATGTTGATTTTCTTGAAATATTTTGGCTCATTTGGCTTGCAGCTTTCATGATATAGGCAACAGTGTTAATAACGTTTTAATACTACACACACTTGATAATCTGTATTACTATATTATCTAAATTAGAAATGTACAAAAAATACAACTAGGAATTATGTTGGTCTGGCCTAATGAGCTATTTTCGTAACAGCTTTAAAAACTTTGCTGTGCAAGCTTAATCAATTAACAATTATAACATCGCAATTAAGATTTTAGATTGTTAAAGATAACCGAATTGGCTTCTTCATACAATAAACAGTAAATCATTCTATTAAAACATTAGACTGTAAAATAACCTTATTACTTTGTCCAATACTATACAATGAGCACATAAATCATATTTTAAGGGTATCCATTCAAAATCTTTATTCATAACTTGAATACAGTATGTTAAAGGTATTTAAGGTACATTGTGTGACAGTGTAATTTACCACTGGGAAAATAAAATTCTACCTTGACTGAAATATAGAAATATTCTTCATTTTTTATTGGTTTTTTCATTTAAAAAGCAATATTCTGATCATTTTACTTGAGATAAATGTAAGTCCATATGCACATTTGCCCATAGGACAGTATGCTTGACTATTCTCAGTGCTTGATAGAAGAGCCTGGGTAATGTAGAATTATCTAAGTTCAAAAGAGTTATTGGCTTTAATCAGTGACCTCTAAATATGATCTCAAATAAGAGTGTGAAGTTTCAACCAAATCCCTTCAGTGGTTCTGGAGATACCAACATGCACATAACCAAAGAGTGACACCGACACCTGGGCAAGTACGATGGCTCTGCAATGAGTCTGCAATTCTCTTGTAATTTTGTTGTGATTAATGCTTCCGAGGGATCACTTTGTTTCCAGAATTTTTTTTTTTTCTTCTTAATTCTTCAGATACTCAAGCCAATAAGATTTTACAAAGATACATATTAAAACTATGGTGATATTTTAGTAACCAATAACATAATTCTAGTATTTTAGTAATGACTTGACTATACCATCATTATAGAGTCACTTTTATTAGTAAATGGACTTGTCCATCTTTCAATCTGACCTAAACCATTGATCATTTTTAGGGAGAATCTTAAAATATTTACCTACTGAAAAGCGAACTATGCAGACCTTAGTCAGAGGGCACGGTTGTTACCAGCTGATATTGTTTTGCAGCAGAATCAGTTGAAAAGCAGAGATAAAGGATTAACTATAGCCCCTTTTTTGCATCACAGTTAGAGTTTAAAGCTGGAGAAGAACTTTATATATGTACACAAATTTAGCAAGATTAATTTCCAAAATTCAGTAAGATTGACCATTTTGTGTTTAATGAACTATTAAACACAATAATGATGAAGAGTGTATTACAATTACCTTTTTTGGATTGAAATATATTGTGCAGTCATATCCTTGGTTAAGAAAAAATATATCTTAAGAAAAATGATTTTAACTTAAATTTATAAGGACATACCAAGGTCAGACTTTATATTTGAGCTATTACAGTGGAAAATCAATAAGCCCGATCATTACAATGATTTACACTTGGAAAACAAACATTTTTGTTTAAATCATGACTTATCAATATTTGGCAGTGATTTAAGATTTAGTGGATCATATCTATCTTGACAGTAATTTATTAATCCTTAAACTGCCATAATCATGTAATAGACTTGTCCTGTTTTGCATTTGGAACAGTCCACTAGTAGTTGAAAGGATGTCATTATCAAAATATTAAAAATGGGTCAAAGACAGAAGTGGCCGGGTTGCATTTGTATACCAAATATCATGAGTCTGTGATATTATGAAAATTTTATACCATTCACCATGTCAACGGTAAATAAGAAGTGGATCAGCAACAGACCTGAAATTAAATCCCACCCTATGGGACTTGTTAATGCTGTATACCCAAATCAAGAGGCTGTGATAAGTAGTGGCCAAGAAAACTGTTACAAAAATTTCCTACCATTCACCATTAATGTGGAAAATTTAACTAAGACAGTTTACAGGAAGTAAACAAGCAAGAGACCTGAAATCAAATGCCACTGTATGGGACCATGTGATTATGCTGTATACCAAATATCAAGAGGCTGTGATAAGTAGTCGCTGAGAAAACTATTACGAAAAATCCCCCCCCCACCCGCCCGACGTTACGAAAGTTTTTTCCCCGCCAGCCGCCCGACATTCACCATACTGTAACCCGGGTTTGCACCTTTGCAAAAAATAACTAGTCACATGGTTTATAGAATGCTCAGATTTACTGACTGACCCGAGATTATGCTTTATGAGAGTCAGTCCTCCCATAAAGGCACTAAATGCAGCTTTCATTGTCGCGTACTGACTCTTGATATGTCACCAGTCATTCCCTTAAAGGGTTAATTTTGAAGCACAAAGTGTTGATAATTTACCTTCATGCAATTTCAATAGAGAATTAGCCAAAGATAAGAATTTGGAGCCAAAAATAGGTCTCTGTATGGCGGTCAATGATAACCTAAATGTATACGAGGGATGATCAAAAATAAACCGGACTGTGACTGGCAATTGAAGAATTTTCGTCCTATCACTAATTGTTATATATCCCACTTAACCGGAAAACAATACCTGTAAACTGATACTATATCTAATCTGATAACGCAAATAGCTTGTCCGTAACAGCGAATTCAAAAACCATGGTAACGCACACCCGGCGCAGTGCGTAAATTCGCCTTGACATCAGGCACTTTATGCTGCGTGTATTTTACAATATGGCACATTCAGATTTCAAAATACGCCAAAACGTCATGAACCATATCTTTGACGTTGTCAGTAAAAATGACCTCATTTAAACCATATTTATATTTACAATCACAATTCAAACGTCACATGTTAGTGAAATACTCGCGTTAAAACTATGTCGTCGGAATGTCTCGAAAATCGATCAATATGTCAAAATTGTCAAATGTAAGACGAGAAATTGTTTAAAACGTAGAAAATGATTATGGCTATCAAAGGAAAAGTTCCAGAAATGCAAGCATATTTTTGATTAGCTTAAAAGATTAAGAAAGGATCATAGAGAAATAGAAAACAAGTAAGGGAGAGACAGAAAAAAGAAAATTTCAAGGACGTTGGTGACGTTTATCGCCAAGACGTTGAAACATGACAGTCGATTGATTGCTGACATTGTCAACGATGTTCGACAGAAGCTTCGGGACGGTGCAGTCAACTCTGAGGATTTTAAAATGATAATAGTTAATGCATTAATTACATGTATTGTATTCTTGGTTAACAATTGTATCAATTATTTTCTTATTTTACGCAGTAGTCTTATGGAGAAATTGAGTCAAACAATTTAACAGTCATTGTTCAAATCGGCTATGCGTTTTAATTAATTTAACATTATGACAATTTTGATCATAGTTGTATTATTCTGTTATTCTTTCGTATGTATGATACATTATCATTCAGCAACATTATTTTACATTATTTGTAATACATAATATAGTTAATTGCATGTGCGATTTTTTCAAACAATCAAGTTACAGAAGGAAATAACGGAAGTTTGCGTCATTACAGGAGCTCTTTATCACCATTCATTCTATAACAATACAATATGATACCCACTTGTACAGAAATATATATAGGCAGTGGATCCGCCGCATCAATAACATGACTGTACCACATATTGGCCTACTCCGTGAATGAGTAAAAAGGTGCTCCGTTAAGGACAATACGTTTGTGACGTCGTTAACGTCAATTTTAAAGTTATACCGTGCGCCGCATTGCTTTACATGTACATGCCAATAACAGCATAAGTTTTTTCTTTGTTAATATTTCTTGTTGGTATTTTTTGTATCATTTAGGGGAAAGATTCCGATTTATTTTCCGTTTATTTTAATGTAAATTCATTTAACAGGTAAAGAATCATTTACAAAGTCCGGTTAATTTTTGATCATCCCTCGTAGTAACCAGGGGCAATATGAAAAGGAAGAGGTAGCCCTAAAAAGGGCTGTTATGCCAGCTTAGATGGCCTGCATTTCAAGCCCTCACTAACACTCAGATTTGTAGGCTGGCCTGGTTTTAAAGCAGTGGCTAAAGACACATCATTATAACTGCTAGGATTACACAGGTTTACAAGGTCCCTAATTTGAAACCTTGTCTCCCTGTGTGATTTAGTGAACAAGGAATGGAGTTAGTAGGTAAGTTACAAAATATGTTACAAAATTAAACACAAGTAGAGCAAAACAGAGCAGCAGGAAAAGGGGGCTATACACCAAATGCTAGTTCACTAATTTACTTTTAATTACCAGTTTCAGTTACATTTATGACCTTTATCTGGATGGTTTTGAGTGATCAAGTTTGAGTATAGCTACGTCTGTCTGAAAAGTCCCTGGTGCTTAGTGCTAGTCCATGACTGGCTTTGTATATGAATTTCATGATAATTGTGTTTCATTCAAATATCAGATTTAGTTGTACACACAATACATCTTGCCAATAAAGACTTAAAATATGATAATAATTGTAATTCTAACTTTATGTAAAGAAAAAGACGATATCTTTTTTAAAATTTATTTCATTTGCTAACTCACTAGCATCTATGCATAAACAATTATAATAAAGCTTTGACATGAAGTGAATTTAAATGAAATAGTTTTTCACTTTACCTAAAGAACAAAGCAGTAAATCGTATCATTAGTTTTCTGGTAACACTGTGCATATATCTTCTAACTGAAAATTTTCCTTATTTATTGCAATGGAATAAATAAATTTGTGTAATGGATCTCAAAGTTTAAGAGATTTCAAAATACAAATATAAAGTTTTATAAGTTGCATCTTAACAATAAACTTTATAGTAAATAAGCATTAAAATATCTTTAATACATGTATAGCATAAATATGAGAGCACTATGATATATAAGATCCCGCATTATCACATGAGGCTTCAAAGGATAAAATAAATATTCCCACTTTTTTACATTATATTCACAATCATTTAACTATTTAATCTGTATTCCCCCAGATTTTGTGCCCAACACATCTGCAGCTAGGGCAGATAAATCATTATCAATATCTAAAACTTCCTCTGTATCCAGTGATACTCCTTCAATATTTGTGTTCATTATATCATTTTCCAGCTCAGCCTCCCCTTCATTATCAGTGAGAGAAAATTTCACAGGAGTAGAACTTTCATCTTCAACCTGAGCTGTGGTTGGTTCACTTTCCAAAGTCTTATCTTCTGATTGGTTAATTTCAGAAGTAGCATCTTCTGTTTTAATTTCTGATTGGTCGGTATCTATAACATTATGTAACTCTGTTTCTGATTGGTTAGATTCAGGTACAGTTTTTTAAAGCAAATTCTATTGGTCACGGGGTTTTCCCTTGGTTTTGGTTGCTGTAAAATTTTTGGGGCCCCGGGTTTCGCTAAACTTCAAAAACTGGTGCGGTACGGGTTCAACTTCCACTTGGGAACCAATGTTTTTATACTCTCTAAGACAACCTTTGACATTCATTTGCCCAAATTTCCCCCCTAAAATTCAATTTGGAATTAATTCATTATTTTTCATTTAGTCAAATTTAAAGTGTAATGACAAGATAATTGACGGGTTCTTTTTAAAATAATTAAAATGAAAACTTGTTGTTTTGGGTTTTTTTTTAAATTTCCAATGATAAATTTTAAATCCTAAAAAAGATTAAAAAAATATTAAAAAATTTGACAAAAATTTTGGGATTTTTAAAATGCCCATATACTTATTTAAAAGTCACGGTCCCTAATGTAAATAATCGGTGGGGAAAGAAAATATTTAAAAAATAAAAAATTTTATTCAGTTCGGATACAGTAACTCCAAGTATTAGTGCCAGCTGTGCTTGAGGGTATAGTGCTTGCAGACATTTGTTGATATACGGTACAAGGCTATGAGCGTATGCTGAACAAAACTTGTCGAATCTCTCCTTCTCTTTCCTGTCAAATGTTGTCTCTTCAGCCCTGTATGTACAAACAGACATCATAACAAGAGGGCCATGATGGCCCTGAGGTCGCTCACCTGTATAAAGGCCCCCGCAGCGGGGCCAGTTTAAACCCAAGGGCTTTTTTTTTAACAAACTTGAAAGACAATCATTGAAGATGTTTCTCGATGTTAAGTTTGTTAAGTTTTTACTACACACATATAATGAAAAACAATGATCTCCCTCCCCCCCCTCAAGCAGGGCCAATTTTCACCCGAGGGCTTTTATTTGAACAAACTTGGTAGACACCCATAAGAAGATGTTTCATGCTAAACATCTAAGCTCTAGCTCATTGGGTTTTTTAAAAGAAGTTATTTTAAGTTTTTACTATATACATATAGTTAAAAACAATGACACCCCCGGGGCGCGGCCAGTTTTGACCCCAGGGCTTTTATTTAAACAAAATTTGTAGACACTTACTAGAAGATGTTTCATTCTTAATATCTAAACTCTAGTTATTTGGGTTTTTTCAAAGATTTTTAAGTTTTTGCTATACACATATAAGGAAAATCAATGACCCACAGGGGCGGGGCCAATTTTGACCCCAGAGCTTTTATTTGAACAAACTTTGTAGACACTCACTAGAAGATGTTTCATGCTGAATATCGTAACTCTAGCTATTTGGGTTTTTTCAAAGAAAATTTTTAAGTTTTTGCTATACACATATAAGGAAAATCAATGACCCCCAGGGGCGGACCAATTTTGACCCCAGGGCTTTTATTTGAACAAACTTTGTAGACACTCACTAGAACATGTTTCATGCTTAATATCTAAACTCTAGCTATTTGGGTTTATTTAAAGAAGATTTTTTAAGATTTTGCTTTACACATATAAGGAAAATCAATGACCCCCAGGGCGGGGCCAATTTAGACCCCAGGGCTTTTATTTGAACAAACTTGGTAGACACCCATTAGAACATGTTTCATGCTAAATATCTTAGCTCTAGCTCTTTGAGTTCTTTAAAAGAAGATTTTTAAGTTTTTACTATATGCATATAGGGAAAATCAATGACCCCCTGGGGCGGGCCAATTTTGACCCCAGGGATTTTATTTGAACAAACTTGGTAGATACTCACTAGAAGATGTTTCATGCCAAATATCTAAGCTCTAGCTCATAGGGTTTTTGAAAAGAAGATATTTAAAGTTTTTTCTTTCGGTTGCCATGGCAACCAGAGTTCTGCATGGAATAAAATTCTTTGAACAATTTTTAAAGGTGACCACCAAAGGAACATTCCTGTGAAGTTTGGATGAAATTGGCTTAGTGGTTTATGAGGAGATGTAATTTAAAGTACAAGTTTACGGACGGACGACCGACGGACGGACGCTGGCCGGACGCCGGACAAAAAGCGATCACAAAAGCTCACCCTGTCACTTTGTGACAGGTGAGCTAAAAAGGCAAAGGAAAACCAAATGTTAACCAACAGTCCATGAAAGTAGTACTTTAGAATGCAAGCATACCAAATAGTAAATTTGGAAGCAATGGTAAATTTTTTTGAAATAATGACCTTGAAAGTAAAGGTCATTTAAAGGTCAATATGATACGTTTTTAATACATCAAAATAATCCTCTTTTCCAGATGTTGTCTTGAATATAAAATCTCTAGCTTACATACAGATTGAAGTTGATATTGTGAAGGTAAAGTTGTCCCCGGACAGACAAACATTCAAGCCAGTTAAATGTTTCTTCTGAACAAGCAACCAATCTAAGACCAAAGGAAAAACTTTTACAGGCAATATTGATTTTTTTAAGATTAGTATTAAAAAATGTACAAGTATCAGTGTCTGAAATGAGAACATACCTGTGAAATGCCAGTATGATTTTATTGACATGGAGGAAGGAATTATGTAGAGCATTGCTGACCTCTGTTACCAAGGCGACAGGTGCACACAGTCGAAGTTCATTGAGTGCAGTAAGGATGTCATTACAATATGCAGCTAGAGGGTAAAAGTCCAGTAAGATAGTGGGTGGGTACAGCTGACCACTCTGTAATGTATAAAATCAATATTTTCATTTAGATGATGATTTTATCAATTTTTCAACGTAGGATCATAGTTGTCCTTTTAAAATTACCAGAAAACAAATTGTTCATATTTCTGGATAAAACAAAGATAAAATAATAAATAGAAAATTTGTTATGTCCATAGATGTTCCCACATTCCACTGTTTTGTCAGTCTGCTGACCAGAAGCTGGACGAAAGAACAGAGAAGGGCCAGTATATATGCCCCTCCCCCTTAGAAGTGAGGGCATAAAAATTCATAAATATACTATTATATACATGTATAATAATTCCTAAATAAGCCAGTGCAAGCTTAATTATAAATACAATACTGAACAATTCTGTATTATAATTATATTACACATTGGTGATTTCTACTGTTTAAAGTATCAACATGTATTTATCTTGGCTTAGAGTTGATAAAATTTTCAAGTTAAATTCAATCCCAAATATACTGGTACTTTCTTAACTAACCAGTGTCATGTGAGGAAATAGGTTTGTTTATAACAGAGAGATTGAACTATGAAATAAAGAAGGCATCTTAATAACTGAACTAACTCTTCTGTCACAAACTTTAATATTTTACTAGAAATATTTTTACTTTAACCTGCTGAATTTAATGTACTGGATTTGTCCTGCTTTGAATTTTAAGTTAAAGGGATTTCAATATTAAAATACAAAATTTGATCAACATTAAAGAGCCAGTCAGAAAGCACAGACTGGCCTAGCTCTGCACTACTAGCACAGTAACTGTTTTGAAGTAGAATTTTAGCAGATTAGCAACAAAAGAGGAACCTTACCTGAGTTGTAGAATTGTAAGGGAGACCCCCCATACTGGACGAAGCTGACAATAAGCTGTAAGACCTCATACTGTCCTCAAACCTGAAAATATATGTACATGTATATAATTATGAAAGAAATATTTCTACGAAACATGAATTCAATATTATAGATCATCATAAAACATATATAACAGCCCATTAATTTGTTAAACAAGAGGGCCATGATGGCCCTGAGGTCGCTCACCTGTATAGTGGCCCCCGCAGCGGGGCCAGTTTAAACCCTAGGGCTTTTATTTGAACAAACTTGGAAGACACCAATTAGAAGATGTTTCATGTTGTTTAGTTTTTACTACACACATATAATGAAAAACAATTACCTGCCCCCCCCCCCCTTCTGGCAGGGCCAATTTTATTCTAAGGGCTTTTATTTGAACAAACTTGGTAGATACCCATAAGAAGATGTTTCATGCTAAATATCTAAGCTCTAGCTCATTGGGTTTTTTAAAAGAAGATTTTTTATGTTTTTACTATACAAATATATCTAAAAACAATGACACCCCAAGGGCGGGGCCAGTTATGACTCTAGGGCTTATATTTGAACAAACTTTGTAGACACTTACTAGAAGATGTTTCATGCTTAATATCTAAACTCTAGCTATTTGGGTTTTTTCAAAGAAGATTTTTAAGTTTTTGCTATACACATTTCAGGAAAATCAATGACACCCGGGGCGGGGCCAATTTTGACCCCAGGGCTTTTATTTGAACAAACTTTGTAGACACTCACTACAAGATGGTTCATGCTTAATATCTAAATTCTAGCTATTTGGGTTTTTTCATAGAAGATTTTTGAAGTTTTTGCTATACACATATAAGGAAAATCAATGACCCCCGGGGCGGGGCCAATTTTGACCCCAGGGCATTTATTTGAACAAACTTGGTAGACACCCATTAGAAGATGTTTCATGCTAAATATCTTAGCTCTAGCACTTTGAGTTCTTTAAAAGAAGATTTTTTAAGTTTTTACTATATGCATATAGGGAAAATCAATGACCCCCTGGGGCGGGGCCAATTTTGACTCCAAGGCTTTTATTTGAACAAACTTGGTAGAAACTCATTAGAAGATGTTTCATGCTAAATATCTTAGCTCTAGCTCTTTGGGTTCTTTAAAAGAAGATTTTTTAAGTTTTTACTATATGCATATAGGGAAAATCAATGACCCCCTGGGGCGGGGCCAATTTTGACCCAAGGGCTTTTATTTGAACAAACTTGGTAGACACTCACTAGAAGATGCTTCATGCCATATATCTTAGCTCTAGCTCTTTGGGTTTTTTAAAAGAAGATATTTAAAGTTTTTTCTTTCAGTTGCCATGGCAACCAGAGTTCTGCATGGAATAAAATTCTTTGAACAATTTTTAAAGGTGACCACCAAAGGAACATTCCTGTGAAGTTTGGATGAAATTGGCTTAGTGGTTTATGAGGAGATGTCATTTAAAGTAAAAGTTTACGGACGGACTTCGGACGAAAAGCGATCAAAAAAGCTCACCCTGTCACTTTGTGACAGGTGAGCTAAAAATAACAAAAGTTATGGTAACCTTATTTGGAAACATGCTGAGGCTATACTCAAATGAGTCAAGCATCTCTCTGTAGGTATGTTTTGTAGTAATAAATTATATATAGAGTATAAAAGTTCTAGCTTAAAGAAAGAAGACCACAGAATACTGTACATTAGGTGTTCAATGGCCTCTGTACAGTAATCTACTGTACTTTTGTTCTTGTGGTATATCCGGGGTAAGTGCTTTATTGCCAAACATCTTTTTGTGTAAACAGTCTGATGAACCCTCCCTTTGTTTGGTTTGGTTTACACCTTAAAGATCACATATTGAACTTAGCGCAGTAACAGGTTAACAGTAACAGTACTTGTTACTGCACTAAGATGATGATACAGTTGATAACATTCCAGTTTAAGTGGTGGAGGTGACCATCATTAGCATTGACTATATACATACATATACAATGAAGACCTTACAGGTAATGTTATAATTGTCTGCACACAGTTATATATATGCCTTCTTGTACAGTCTAACTTGCCCATGCGACCACGTGTATTAAGCGACTTTTGTCTTAAGCGGCCACTTTCAATTCCCTCTGTTCATTTTCTCTCTATATATTTAATGTATTAAGCGACTTTTGCTCAACGACCGCTAATTAGTCAGCTAATTGAGATCAATCTTTTCATTAAACGACCACTTTTACCTGTCAATTAATTGTGTTTTTAGAGAACGCCGCCTCGTAATGTCACAAGTGTCAACAATCAAAACACAATATATAAATGTGCGAAAAACTCTATTTGCCAAACCGTTTTAGTGTATGCAAATAAAGGTAAGTATACGCGTGACGTGTATTATCCAATAATATCGATATAACAATGAAACGCTCCGCACCTACTCAGATGGTGTATACGCTAAGCTGTTGATATTAAGACTGCATTGAATTGACCTTGAACTTGATCAGCAATTAAATTAATTGTTACAATCAGATGTACTTTGTTTATTTCAAATGAAAAATGCACAACAGAAAAAAGCTTCACTTATCAGGGTTTTCGTGTTGGAGACAAGGAAATTCAACGGAGAAGTTTAAAAATTCTGGAAAAATGTCAAACATGTACGTAATGGATCAAAACTGATTTGTCATATATCTGAAAGTTATTTTTTTACATAAACATCCATTTAGATTATCGGAGCGTTCTAATTATTAAACATCTATATAAATGAAGTTGAAAGACATTACCACAGCAAAAGAAAGATCATGCTTTGTCTTAAGAGACCGTTTCATTAAACGACCGTTTTGGGTGTTTCCCTTGCGCGTTCGCTTAATACAAGTTTGACTGTATATGCTAGCAAATTTTGCTTGAAAATTTATAAAAAACAGCTTAAATGGCCCCCTTTCTTTAAGTACCAACCTTTTGTTTGCCTCCTGAAGGGTGAACAGTAGACCATTTAATGCTGCTTGTTGGAATATAGGGGTCAGTAATCCACGGAAATCTGCTCCGACCCTACTGAAGGACAATCCAAAGTACATACATTGTCCGAGTATAGAATCTAATCTACCACCAACTCCCCGAGCTAAATCTGCCTCCAATATTCCAAGAAACTGCGACACCTAAAAGCAAAAGTCAAAACTTTCATTCTAACTGTAATATTTATAACCACAATATTAGTTCTTCTGACATAAATTTATGTACATAAAAAAGTCCCAAAACAAAGCTCATAATGCTAATCAAAATTGATATATCACTTTTACATGTTTTATCATAATTATCTATCTGTAGGTCTAAAAGAAATGTTTATACATTTGTAGCTGGATATTTGATTCTTTCAGTTCAGGGGCAATAACTCCTTTTATTTTATGGGGATTTGAAAAAAAATCTATTTCATAGTTAGGATTCCAGACAGCCATTTTTCCAGAATTTTCAGTGGCAATATCGTTTGAACAAATAAACAAATCTAATAAAATTGCATAAACTATATTGCCCTTAAATGGTAAACTTTGAAACAAATTCTTTACAAAAATTCAAAACTGTTGAAAAGACGTAACTCTAGACCAATGACCAACTGATGGTGATAATTAACAATATTTCTTTGTACCCTGAAAAGCTATTTAAGGTAAAAACAAGTAAACATGCTTAAAAGTGTTTCCATAAAAATCTTTTTAAACAGTTAAAAAAATCTCCCAAAACCTTTTGAACAATCCATGTATGGAATAAAGCTCCTTCATTGAGAGAATCATCTTTAGATGTAGATAAGAGCGGATCTTCATCGGAGAATATTGCCCTGTACTGTGTAATGATATCAAACAAGTTTACACGGCTCACCTCTATTGTCTTCGATATATGCGTGTACGCTGAAACATGATGAAAGTTTTTGTTAACATATATCATATATTGGGTGCCCTAAATTCATCCCTATCCTAGTGCCAACACCCATACTGTGTATGTCAGAAAGTCTCAACAATTAATCCTTAAGAGTAAATAGTTAGATATTTTTAAACACCAAAGTAAATTTAATTTATCTGTCAAATTTCTTCTGCACAGGATGCTTGGATCGTTAGAAAATATACTGTTTTTAACTATGTTTTACTTTTACCAGATTTGGTTGAATAGGATTCAATATAAAGGATATTATAATTAATTATTTTAAGATGGTCAGTCAAAAGTATAGAGCCTGATCAACTGCATAGAAAGACATGCACACTTCCCTGGTTCTATATGGGTGAAAATCTATTGCAGAGAACAAAAGAAAACAAACCCTTTTAATATTCTTTTCCTAAAGCAAAGGATGACCTTGAAAAAGTCATTTAATGTCAATGTCAAATCAGCTTATTCATTTCTGGGTATTGCTTTCTCTTGAACACACAATGTTCATGTTAACATCCTTTAACTTCATCATGGTTGTTATCTAATATATATAAGTTTGAGTTTTCTAGTAATTATTGAAAATGCTGCTTTCAAAATAGATTAACTTGGGAATGAAGAATATCTGGGGTTTTCCCTACTAATCCTTGGGTACAAAATTAACAAACTTTTAAAGTTATAGCTTCGAAAATAAGCGCAACAAGTTGACTAATCTATTGTGACGGGTAGTGCACTGTGAAGCTATAACAGTTAAAGTTTGTTTGTACCTACATGTACCAATTAGCTGGGGAAAATCCACATTTGCAGAGTTCCGCATAACATGTATTGCATGACTTTTAACATAACTTTATGTTTCAATTGTATTCTACAAAACATGGCTCACCTTAAAGAATATGAAGTTTAATGTGTCAATGTGTAAGTAAAAGAGATGTACTGTATGAAGGGGTGTTTATATAAGGTTGTATGATTACTATTGTCCAGTGAAACCCATTTTTAAACATGATTAATGCCAAACTTATTTAACTATAGAATGATGTCTAAAACCATTAACTATAAGTAAATCAAATAAAGAAAAAAAATCAGTGTTTTACTGCCCATATTTTATGCCAAAATGAGGCCCCATATTCCTCTTTGGCAAAAAACATGACTGTACACCCTTCAAAAATGAAATCAAAAGACAAAAAAATGAATAACAAGAGGGCCATGATGGCCCTGTAATCGCTCACCTGTATATAGGCCCCGGGGCGTATGCAAATTTTAACCCAGGGGCTTTTATTTGAACAAACTTGGTAGACACCCATTAGAAGATGTTTCCTGATCAATATCTAAGCTCTAGCTCTAAGGGGTTTTTACAAGAAATTTTTAAAGTTTTTACTGTATACACATATAGGGAAAAACAATGACCCACCCACACCCCAGCCTGGGTCAATTTTGACCCCAGGGCCCTTATTTGTACAAACTTGGTAGATACTCATTAGAAGATGTGTCATGCTCAATATCTTTGCTCTAGCTCTTAGGGTTTTTTAATAGAAGATCTTTTAAGTGTTTACTATATACATCAAGGGAAAAACAATGACCCCTGGGGCGTGGCCAATTTTGACCCCAGGGCTTTTATTTGACCAAACTTGGTAGAAACCCACTAGAAGATGTTTCATGCTTAATATCTAAGCTCTATTTATTAAGGTTTTTTAAAAGAAGATTTTTAAAGTTTTTACTATATACAAATAAAGAAAATCAATGACCCCCGGGGCGGGGCCATTTTGACCCCAGGGCATTTATTTGAACAAACTTGGTAGACACTGACTAGATGATGTTTCAGGCCAAATATTTAAGCTCAGGCTCTTTCGGTTTTTTAAAAGAAGATATTTTAAGTTTTTTCTTTTGGTTGCCATGGAGTTCTGCATGGAATTAAATTCTTTTAACAATTTTTAAAGTTGACTACCAATGGAACATTCCTGTGAAGTTTGGATGAAATTGACTTAGTGGTTTATGAGGAAATATCATTTAAAGTAAAAGTTTACGGACGGATGCTGGATGGCCGGACGCCGGACGAAAAGTGATCACAAAAGCTCACCATGTCACTTTGTGACAGGTGAGCTAATAAAAAGTAATTCAAGCTGAAACTTAACTTAACACTGCTTTACATTAAGATATTTAAAAATATTTTTACTAATTTTCTTTATTAACCTTTTCCCTTATATAAGCGTGTTTCGACGGCTTTTTGCCCCCCCCCCTTTTTGAGGCCTCAAACAGTGAAAAAATGTCCTATTTAGACCCCAAACACTGTTTTTCGTTTGTGAAATGTTGTTAAAAAAAGTGACCATTTTTTCGGCGCCGTCCCCCATCCAAATAATACATCAGGGGGTTGCCAGAAGGGGGATGTACCCCCTTCTGTTTGGGGGGTTTGAAGGGGGCGGAGTCCCCCTCATCGCCAAGAAAATTTTGGACTTGTGAGAGGCTTAAAATGACCCCAGGTTGATCATAAAGTAACGTGTAACCAACGCTGAAAAGCCTTTGACTCTATCTCAATCCATTGAGAAGTTGCAGCACTTTGAAATAAATTTTTGATGGAAAAAAATCGAGGCAAAATAGTGATTTTCGGCAATTTTGAGATGTCCCCCTCGTTGCCATGGTAACAGGAAATTTAAAAGACTGAGCATGTCGTTACAAAGGCAATGGTCCAGTCAACATTTGTGCCAAGTTTGATTAGTATTGAAGCATTTTTCATAGTTTCATAGCAGTTTTGAACTTGTAAGAGGAGGCTTTTCAGTTAAAATGGCCTTTTTTCACGATATGCTCATGGGGAAAGGGTTTAACTAAAAAAAAATATAAATGTTACAAAACAACAATTTTTTCACCAAAATTAGGTAAAAGACCACATGTTAACATGGAAAAACTAGATTTTGGGTGATTCCAAGGTTTTTCATCATTTTTTGTTAACCTTTTTCCCTTATATAAGCGTGTTTCGACGGCTTTTTGCCCCCCCCCCCCCCCTTTTTGAGGCCTCAAACAGTGAAAAAATGTCCTATTTAGACCCCAAACACTGTTTTTTTGTTTGTGAAATGTTGTTAAAAAAAGTGACCATTTTTTTCGGCGCCGTCCCCCATCCAAATAATACATCAGGGGGTTGCCAGAAGGGGGATGTACCCCCTTCTGTTTTGGGGGTTTGAAGGGGGGCGGAGTCCCCCTCATCGCCAAGAAAATTTTGGACTTGTGAGAGGCTTAAAATGACCCCAGGTTGAATCAATAAAGTAACGTGTAACCAACGCTGAAAAGCCTTTGACTCTATCTCAATCCATTGAGAAGTTGCAGCACTTTGAAATAAATTTTGATGGAAAAAATCGAGGCAAAAATAGTGATTTTCGGCAATTTTTGAGATGTCCCCTCGTTGCCATGGTAACAGGAAATTTAAGACTGAGCATGTCGTTACAAAGGCAATGGTCCAGTCAACATTTGTGCCAAGTTTGATTAGTATTGAAGCATTTTTCATAGTTTCATAGCAGTTTGAACTTGTAAGAGGAGGCTTTTCAGTTAAAATGGCCATTTTTCACGATATGCTCATGGGGGAAAGGGTTAACTAAAAAAATATAAATGTTACAAAACAACAATTTTTCACCAAAATTAGGTAAAAGACCACATGTTAACATGGAAAAACTAGATTTTGGGTGATTCCAAGGTTTTTCATCATTTTTTGTTAACCTTTTCCCTTATATAAGTGTGTTTCGACGGCTTTTTGCCCCCCCCCTTTTTGAGGCCTCAAACAGTGAAAAAATGTCCTATTTAGACCCCAAACACTGTTTTTCGTTTGTGAAATGTTGTTAAAAAAAGTGACCATTTTTTCGGCGCCGTCCCCCATCCAAATAATACATCAGGGGGTTGCCAGAAGGGGGATGTACCCCCTTCTGTTTGGGGGGTTTGAAGGGGGGCGGAGTCCCCCTCATCGCCAAGAAAATTTTGGACTTGTGAGAGGCTTAAAATGACCCCAGGTTGATCATAAAGTAACGTGTAACCAACGCTGAAAAGCCTTTGACTCTATCTCAATCCATTGAGAAGTTGCAGCACTTTGAAATAAATTTTGATGGAAAAAATCGAGGCAAAATAGTGATTTTCGGCAATTTTGAGATGTCCCCTCGTTGCCATGGTAACAGGAAATTTAAGACTGAGCATGTCGTTACAAAGGCAATGGTCCAGTCAACATTTGTGCCAAGTTTGATTAGTATTGAAGCATTTTTCATAGTTTCATAGCAGTTTGAACTTGTAAGAGGAGGCTTTTCAGTTAAAATGGCCATTTTTCACGATATGCTCATGGGGGAAAGGGTTAAACGTGAAGGTAATTATCAATAATATATTGCTTTTGTTCTCTGTTATAGTAAATCCAATGCAATTATCCCGTAAAAATAATAATCCAACTACCACTCTGCTAATGTATATCAAGAGCTCCACATAGTTTGGGCAACATATGCACTATGGTGGGTTATTAAGGGTACAAATTTACACAGATGAAATGACTATAGATTTTCCTTTAGGTCATAAAATATAATAAATTATTATTTAAAAGAAGATAAATTAACAAATTTTTTAGTTTATTTTGTCTGAACAGAAAAGTTTTTTTCAAAAATTAATTAATTCAAATTTGCCTGAAAAGGACATTAAACAATGTAACATTGTAATACTCCCTAGCGTAAACATTAAAGACAGTTTACTATCATTGAAATCCGTCCAATGTTTTAATTATGCTGACACCGATAACAGAAAATTTGCATATAAAGGGGCATAACTCAATTTTAGAGAAAAATCAAACATAACCTGTGTTTTGATATAACATACTTACATGTAAAATATTAACACAATCATCAAAATCCTTCAAAAGTTATCTTGCAGAATTAATTGTATAAGGGCAGACTATAAGAATCTTACACAGGATGTTGGTACAGAATATCTAGCTTGAGGGTAGCTGTTTACGGTGGTAGCTAGGCTCAGCCAAGTTTTCGCTAAACAGTTACCCAAGAGCTAGATATTCCGACCTGTACCCGCAGCCGGTGTTTGATTCTTTTTCTTGCATATCACATGTTAATTATTTTTGTTACATAAAATTACGAATGACATCATCTTAAGAATGCAATTTATTCATAAAAAGCGCGTGGCAATGACATCATTTTAAGCACTTGACTTGTCTTTCATGGGGGGTGTAAGACAGGTTTTTCTAGCACAGGTGCAAACAATAGATACTCCTGTCTGATTTGCAAAGTGCCATTAAAAAACTGGACCAAAATCAACAACATAATTTTTATGAGACTTAAATACATGTATATTGTTCAGAATGTTATGTGTGGTAATAAATAGAACAAAACCCTAGGAGACTAACTACAGGAGAAATAGTATGTCTGCTTATCTATCTATAAATATTGTCTATATCTACATGATGACCTTGTTTACCTGATTCTTTTTATGAAGTTGTTGATTGAAAAAATATCAAAATTATTCATTAGCTCTTAAAAATCATACAATGTAATCAAGCATGCCATTCAGCTTATAAACACATATTCTAAATAAAAAGTGAAATTCTTACTGTTAAGAATTGGTTTAACTGTTATGAATTTATTATTCTATAGCTGTTGTACCAAAAAATAGTTACGCCAAGGCTATATAGAGGACAGAACATGCAGACTTGACTTTTTAATAAACAATGGAATTTTTGTATGTTCACATAATTGTTTATGGATCTCAAAATCCCAATAATTAAAATGTTTTTTTCTGAATCAGTCCTATCAATGCAATATAAAACAACTTTCAAAAGGTCTTGTTTATGATACAGTGTATGAAAATTCTTCAAAAAATACTTATTTCTGATTCTAAAATAATAATCATCAATAATAATATATTTTCATTTACCATCTTCTTTTGGTACAGCTTCCAATATCCCTTGGAACCAGGAGTCTCTAGCCTGTAAATAATCAATGATGATATAAATGGCTAAACAAGACTAATATTTGTATATCTCTGAACATATGTAAACTTAAAGCCTTACCTTGCTGATATTTTGAAATGGAATAGTCCTGCTGCAAATTTAGGCATGTCCATAAAAAAATAATTTTAATTTTCTTCATTGTTCTTATTTTGGGTACGTGAAAAACAGAATATAATATTTGTGTAGGTTTATTTCTAAATTTGTTGAACAAAAGAATATGATGCTCACCAGAGGCTCGCATAATATAATTCTATTCAACTCATTCAATAATTTTTGTATTAAAACTACACTTATTCAATATATATAAATCAAGGATTTTTTGCCAAACTGTAAGTTCTTTAGTCAAATATTATACTGATTCCCAAAATAAGGTCAAGAAAACCTTTTACAAGAAACATCAAGTTTCCTGGCCATTAACTTCAATAAAATTTATCTATATCTTATTCCTTAAGTTTTTTCACAGACTATCTATAAATTTATTTATAAAAACCAGGAAAGTATCATAAAGTATATGCATTTATTACCCTTCCAGATCTTTTCTGCCTTTTTGATTGGATATTGATCACCCGAAAGAAATTGATATTACCGAGCCAGACGGGTAATATACACACTAAATTTCCCCATTGGGTACCCCACGTTGTAAACAACATGCGCTGTGGAGATGCGCGTACGGTTTGATTTTACGCGATGTAAATTCTGATTTACAAGCACTTTTTAACTGTCAAATGATAAATATTTACCAAATTAGAGTAATGATACATATTCTCATCAGTATTGAAAACAAATATGATCTTGTGAAAGCTTGATATTAATTACAAAAAAGTGCTTTTAACAGACTACTCCTTTTCTCTTGTTTACATTCGTTAGGTTCGAAAGAAAATATGTCATGTATTTATGTGACGTTGTGGTGAAGGGATACCCTAAAGGGGATCTTATATCGAAGTTTCATTTAAATAAGCAATGATTTGTTTTAAAATCGTCTTAACTTGGCAGGGGAAGGGTAATAAAATTATTATTTTGGTTTTGGAGTGATATATGTGGATATATTACCTGCCAAGATAAAATATCACCCGAGCCGTTAGGTATTATCTTTACAGGTAATATATCCACATATATCACTCCAAAACCAAAATAACATATAATATTTCATTTACCTGTAGAAATTTGATTCGTAGCTCCACCTCTGTAAATACGTCCATACGACGGAGGTAGCCTATCACACGTAGACAGGCGGGGAGCTGTACATTTGTTCTAAGTTGTTGTATCAGCTGATTTAACATCAACTGTGTTGACATCTTCACCTCATTTACAATGTTCTGAAAGAATACAACAATTATAGTATTCTGCCTTTTACTTTACATGTACATGTACGTTATGCAGTTATGCCAAAAATACTACTTTATACAAAAGTTATACGTTTGTACATAGCTGATGTCAGTGTAGCTGTGTATCTTGGCAAACCATGTATTCTCAACTCTATATCTTGATGACATCCAACAATTTCAGTATCTTCACATTTAAATCAAAAAGGTATAACTTAATATTGCCGAGACAAAATAATATTTCTTTTTAATTATTACATGCACTTGTTTTTCCTCAACCCCTTAAATCCTGGTGTGTCCTAACCAATATTTACACAAGTTTGGATTATGACAACAGAATCACACCTCCTGTAAGAATTGAAACCAATGCTCTAAATAAGAAGATCTTTAATAGGAGTCTGGTGGTCCTCACATGAACCACTCTGCCTTCACCAATCTTATTCAATCCATACCCTACTGATGTAATTTTGTATTATGGACCTGCCATACTTTGAATTGTTATTTTCATTATCTTTGTTACTTACAGCTATTACAGGTATGCCTGAATGTTTTTTCTCCAGTCGTTTAACATGGGATGCTAATTCCAGAGCTTCATCATAGTACCCATTCCTAACACATGTGTCCATTAACTGGGGCAGTTCTAAGATCTCCAGTAACTGAGTGTGACGTTGTAACGTCAGACTGTTCATTCTGCGACTGTAAAACAAATGAAAACTTTAGCAAGTGCAGGACAAATTTGATACCGAATGAACTTTCAAGTATTTTATTCAAATGAAATAATCTATTTTCTTAATCAGTTTTATAACATTTTTACATAAAGCTTAGAATTAGACACAAATAGATATATCAATCTTACTTTCAGCTTAAAAAAATAGATTTTTTTCTGGTCCGATTTTATGTCACACCAACACAGTGTATGTCATATGGCAACTTTCCAGCTTTACTGGTCAAGGAAAACCTCAGGTGCCCCTCCATGCATTATTTCAAGCACAAGCGGGCACCTGAGTTGAACCACTGATGTTCTGTAAGCTAGCTAGATAGCTTCCCCACATCACAGAATCGAAAGTCACAGGCAAGACTCAAACCTGTGGTGAGGGACAAGTGATTTGAAGTCAACAACCTAAACCACTCGGCTGCAGAAGCCCCTAAAATTAGACATAAACTGACATACTATCCTTACCTTGAGCTTATATCCTGAGCTTTCTTCAGAACGTCACTGCATTGTTGTGAGAATTCTGGTAACTTGTCTAACAGGCCTTCAACATGCTGCTCTATTATCTGAAACTATAGCAACAACAAGTATAACATTTAACTTTCACCCTGCTAAATTTGTAAATACACTTTCCTTGCTTTGCATTAAGAACATTTCATAAGTTTATCCTCACTGATTGTTAAGCAATCCAAATTCATGCTTCAAGTTCAAGAGTATAAAGCATACTGTAAATATTGCAACTCTAAACTTCATCTTGAATGTACTATCGACATACCACTAGTCATTTTAAATGTTGATCAGTCTCTATATGGGTTTTATGAACGGTAGAACCATCAAGGTTAACCACTGAAGTGCAGAATAAGGCTCTTTAAAATGTAACAAAAGTTATGGATTTCACTAAAATCCAATACAATTAAAAAATCTTGTTATATCGTTCTCCATTGGGTAAGAAATTTTATGAATATTGAATATTCACATATAAAACAGGTTCAATCTAAGCAAAGTTTATTGCTCTATCATAACATCACATATAGATTTAATACTTACGTCTTCAAAAATTTCCTTGGAACATTCTGCAGTCTGTATAAATGTTTTATAATTCTGAAATGCTAGATTCTGTGTCTCTTCTAAAATCTGGGTCTTTTCTTCTGTCAGCCTATCTGGCTCCTGAGCTATTGTTTTAAAAATTAAAAACACTGTATATTTAAAAATGTTCAAACAAATTTGTTCATGCCTTGAGACCCAATTGGTCAGTACTTCAAACAGAGCATATATTTTATAAGTAAGATATATGGTAAATTTATGCTTTTTTAGATATTCTGAATGCAAAAAATACAAAATTTTAAATGGTGACCTTCATATCAACAAGTAATAAATGATGCCTTTACATAATATTGTGTACAACTGCATTTTATTTCTACAAAATAGACTAATAAACAACATTTTTATATGAGACTACCATTTTGATCTGATAAAATTTCTACAGTTATAGTCTTAGTCAAGAATAATTACTAAATGATCAACTAAGTAACTTACCAAGCTTTTCAACTCCATATGAACTAAGTTCTGACAAGTACTGTACAAAGTTTGGATCGCTCTGCCAGCTCTCTAAAATTAATACATTTAATTTAAATTATACCTATGTCATAATGTAATAACCATTTTTATTCTATACTAAATTAAAAATAGGGATACTTTTTTCTTTCATGGGATTAGCAGCCCTCGTTTATTAAAAGCAATAGGCACTTTCTAAAATAAACTGGTGCTTTAGCAAAATAAATGGACACTTAAGCTAGGGGTGTCATCGATAAGGATTTTTGTATCGATATATCGGTAATGAATTATCGGCGATACAGCGATATATCGATTGCCAGGCAAAATTAAGCTTTCAAGTCTTTTTAATTTGTTTTAATATGCAGTTACATTTAAACACATGCAAAAAATAAATAAACTATGAAAAATGAACAATTTGTTTCTTTTTTTATCATTATAACTTTTAATGACAACTAATGACTAGTAACTATAATGTTTAAAGCCTTTTCCATTTTACTTTTGGTGTCGTTGTTGCTATTAAGCAGTTACGGATTATGCTAAATCCCGTCCTTGCCGTTCTATTACTAAGCTGGGGTTTAATTGGCAAATTATAGTGTTTAGAACAGGAATAATTATTAAAGTTTAACATATATAAAAATAATCTTTACAAAGAAACACTTAAAAAATTTTTTTGGCATTTTCCCTTTTAAAAATCTAAATTGGGGGGTCTTGACCCCCTCTTATCAGACATGCGAGATTACAACGAAATTCAGCAGCATTCGTTAGAGACACTGGGAGGTAACTCTGATGTTGTTTTTCGTTTTAGAAAAAAAAAATGTTTGGAATATGTTAGTTCTGGCTTCCATAACTTTATATTTCACTTTTATCTTGACGTTTGGTCTATCAGTACTATAAAACCTGTTTGCTGAAGTGTCTTTAGCTAGAAACATGTGTGCATTCGATAACCGATATTTAAAAAATGGAATCAATATCGAATTGGATAACAAAGATCGTTGATACACCGATATAGATTGAATCGATTACACCCCTAACTTAAGCATTTTTGTAAAAATAGTTTATGCTATATCAATTACACCTTTTTCTTTTGAATTTCTAGCATTCATTGTATGCACCTTTTAATACAATTGATACTCTAGTTGGGATATCTTCAACAGGAAATTTGCTTATGTACAACAGGAACAAAAATGGCAGCTCATGCTGTTATCAGTGTTTTTAAAACATTTAGTGATCACCATCAATGATCAGATCTTCAGGAGTAAAAAATTATTTTAGCACTGATTATCTGATTATACCAAGAAATATTAAAGATTATCCTTGGAACCATGTTTTCTAAATGAATTACGGACATTTCAGACCACGGACGTTTCGGACCAGACACTTCGGACCAGATTTTTTGGTCATTTCTGACCAGATTTTGGGACATATCGGACCATGTGATGGTCATTTCAAACCATGATGGGGACACTTCGGTCCAGAACATATATTCCTTTATATATATAATTATTTGTTATTTCAGGATGTATTTTCAATATTTTCTAATAATAAATGCAACGAATATTTGACATTTTTATAAACTTTATGATATTCAATATCTATTTATATCTTATTTGACATTCAAATATTTTGTACATACTGTGTTTTGTGGTCTATAATTATCTAAATGTATACATTCAATGGTAGGTATGTGTTTATCAATAATGTATGATTTGTTTTATAAGAATATGTTGTAAATAATCTATTTCGCCATGTCTTTTTGTATATACAGTTGACTCTCAATAAGTCAAAATCGCTTTACTCAAAATTCCGCGTTAGTCGAAGAATTTCTAGAGTCCCATCAAATTTCCTTCTTTATCTTTGTATTTTAACTCCGCTTAGGTCAAATTTTGACTTACCGAGACACCTGTTTAGTCGAAAAGAAAATTTGGTCCCGTCAATTAAAATCCAACATATTTTCATCTCAATTAGTCGAAGTGTGAAAACAGCCGACTGATCAAAGGTCGGCGACATCAAGGTGAGATGTTGTCACTCGGGATTCACACGTTTCATAGTAATTTTAATTGCCGGTCATCATGTATTATTAACGCGTCGTAAAAGTGGCTTTAATCGGATTCAGGACTGAATTGGTTTTAACAATTAGATTAATTTAATTGTACCAGTCTGACAGGTGTTACTGAAATAACAGCCTAGGTATTGATGTGTGTTATCAACGTAAATGAATTGTCAAGAATGCGTATTAAAAACATATGCATTACTGATAAATACTGACAAACTTGCGTTCATGTCATTGCTACGAATGCTTGTGTTTATGTTTCACTTTTATATACATATATTAAATTTTGAATAATATATTTTTGTTCATTTATAATTTGTAGTTGTAAGTGATTTACCGTCATTTCAACGGTTAAATATTGCGTCATTGCCACTATCAACAATTAGAAAACCTATTTCTTTGTACATTCAATCAGGCACATGTATATACAGGTACAAATGTCAACGTAATGGCGACAGATCCACGTTACTCGAATTCCGTTTCTCTCGAAGTAAAATGTCCAGTCCCTTGGATTTCGAGTTACCGAGAGTCAACTGTACTTTAAAATAAATTGTTTGCAAACCTGTGTCATTAAAACATTGCTTGTTTGTTTTTTAATTTTCTTCATTTATAGTGCAAAATACATAAAATCTAAAGCGGGATATGTGTAAAATCGTACCATTGTGTCAATATATACTAAATTTTCTCTTTAGTTTATCGAATAATTGATGCATAATATATCAAAAAATGATATTTAATCTGGTCCAAAATGTCCAAAACAATGGTCCGAAATGTCCAACACATGGTCCGAAATGTCCAACACATGGTCCGAAATGTCCAAATATCTGGTCAGAAATGTCCTGAAATGTGGTCCGAAGTGTCGCAAAATCTGGTCCGAAGTGTCTGGTCCGAAATGTCCATGGTCCGAAATGTCCTATTACCTTCTAAACAGTCAACACTGTCACCTTTTTTGGGGCACTTTAAATAGGCAAAGAAATGTCACCTTTTTTGGGGCACTTATAATAGGCAAAGAAATGTCAAACAGCAGAAAGTCAAAAAAAGACTTAGGAAGAGAATATCAAATGTATATTTCAGAAGGAAGTGGCTAGCCGTACGGGCCCGTACTGCTAGCCAAAAGTTCTAGCCGTACGTGAGTCACGTACGACTAGCCAGGACACACTGTAATGGCTAGCCGTACGGCACTTTTCAAAAATATATAGAGGCGAAAGTGCATATGTTATTAATGACTTTAAGCGAGGATTTTAGTCAAGAATGTTTGCTTTTTAGAGATTAATCGACGTGTTGGCTACAGTAAAGAATTTACTTTGTCATCTCAAGACGTCGAGAAAAAATAGCGTTTGGTTGCAGTTAAATAACATCAATAGAAATAGTTTACAAAATTTTGATAATAATCCTTTTTTGTTTCATTAAGTTTAATTTTTAAATTGAAAACAAAAAACAAAAAAAAAGAAACACCGAAAATAATTGTTGTTGGGTATGATATTTGCGCCAATTACCGACGGTATAGAAGTTTGTCCATCGTCCATTTATAATATTATTATTAAGAAAAGTTTGCATTATTAAATTATTTTCCCTTTTCACTTTTTTTTAATATTCTTTTTAATTATTCCCCTCCGATCATTATTTATTCGATCCATGTGCTTAATTAACAGATTGAACAATTCATCTTTCATACAAATCATAAGCATGAAAATTAAGGACGTTATAACATGCAACTTTGACACTTAATTTTATTAAGATAGATTATACAACGCTTACTCGTATTCATTTTTGTGTGTGCAAAATTGCGGAGTATCTTTATTAAAGTGAACACACTAGGACAAATGAGGAGATTTGATTAAAATCGTTGTTTAAAGACACAAAATAACATATGCATTTTCGACTTCCATATAATTTTGAAAAGTGCCGTACGGCTAGCCAATACAGTGTGTCCAGGCTAGTCGTACGTGACTCACGTACGGCTAGAACTTTTGGCTAGCCGTACGGGCCCGTACGGCTAGCCACTTCCATTTCAGAATTTGACAACATTTATCAGTGACAAAATATAATTTACACAATATCACATATGACAATGTGTGAAGGAATATGGAATAGTCTATAGACATTTTAATTGACTTTGTGATTTTCATGTCATTGTATTGTTTAATGAGCGTTTTAACGAGCATGATGAATTGTCAACAATATTTTTATTAACTACGGAATTCGTTTTTTATAATATCGTAATTTCAATCATTTCACAATGATATATAAATGACTCATTTGTTTTTAACTTATTACCCGGGAAAGCATCTTTAAATATCGCCGTTAAGACACTCTCTTCCTCCACGTCGATGGAATCCATTTCGATCTGTGTGAAAAAACGATTGATAAGTTTTAGGTCAAAGGGAACCAATTTTAATATTCTTAAGGTTAAACATCACTAAAACTATTAAAAATTTTCTTCACAATAAAAAGCTTGTCCTTTAAAAAGGAAAGATATGTGCATATCCTTCAAATATATTCTTCAACATAGATCATAGGATTGTGGTCACAGACATATTATGATGGTATATACTATTGGCTGGTATCTTGAGTTCCGGTCTCTCCAGATCTCATTTGACGGCTGTTATATTAATTTAGTGATATCTTTAACTTAATAAAGTTCCTTCACACAATTATAAGGATAAGATAGATCCAACCTTTTTAATTAATCTACTTTAGATAACCCACACACAAAAATCACTTAAAGAAGTAACGTTTTTCATTATAATAATTATAGTTTCATACGCTCCCTTCACAGCACTGTGAATACAGTCTTTCACAGAAAATAAGTGATAGTGAAACATTCGACCAATGTATAGGAGAGTTATCGTTTCAATGTAATTGTATACAGTTAAAGTAATTATTTTGTTTCAAAGATAAATAATTTTAGATTAAAATCAGCCTTTCATGAGGTAAATATATTTGATTTATCGTCTATGTAAATGTCCAGGTAGCTGAAATAATGTGTTGCATGGTCAGTATTAAAACTGGTTAATATTCAACCTTGGCCGAACAACAAATGTATAAAATATTAGTAGAAATTTGAACTTAAGTCAAGGGCTAGCAATATTTTTCTTCCCGTTACATTTTCGTTTGAAATATAGACATCCTTTTTATGTTACTTATCTCCTACTAGAGTTACACAATAATGGTTTCCATAAATCTAAGATGGTACTTATATGTACTAAGAACACTGATATGAAGTTTGTTCATGATTGGCAAACATAACATGTATTTTGTATCAGAGCATATATGGATCGCATTGCATAAATGATATAGCTGAAAAGTAGGAATGCAATCAACCAATATATTTTTTAAGTTTGAACACTGCACACCATAAAAATTAGTAACAGCTTCTGTCTTTTACTGTCAAGACACAGATTTTCCTTTTTGCTCACAATAAACTTTTTTTTAAATGCTTTACTCAATATGTATTTATTGCAAAGTGTGTTGGTAGGTTCAGTCAGTGATGGACAAATGATAACGGTAAAGATATCAAAAATGTTTTTCAAAACTTACAGTATGTATTTACTTTGCATTTGATATCATAAAATTAGAGGTTGATCTTTGTATGCTTTATCAAACAAGCTTATGAACAGTAGCTGATTTTCCAGGATCATTTAAGCTGTAAAACACACTCAGTCTTTTAATAAGTTAAAGCTACATGCCCCCAGATGAGTCAAAATATTTCAATAAAATCAAACTTGAGATAAATGTACTTAGATGTAAGGAAAAGTAAAAAGGTTTAAAGATTTGTGCGATTAATGACTGATTTTTCAGAATTTAGAACTATATTTGTACCGCGTTACTAACGCAGTAAAGACTATTTAAGCATATATTGACCACTTTTTGGTAATTTACATGGTTTGTAAGTGTCATTAATAATGTGTAAATTGCTTCCTTTTGGTGACTTCACAATATTACACATTCAAATACATTTTCAAAATCTTCATGAAAATTAGCATGAATCTGAAGGCGTGCTGCTTTAATTGCCTAAATTCTGAAATTTCGACATTGAAGATCAAGGTTATTCAAGTAACAAGGTCATATTTCTATTGTTAATATTAAACTTTGTTGTATACAAGTTCGAAGACCACACCTTAATGAATATTTTTTGGCCTAGGTTACAGGGTGGATAAAAACTATATGCATCCACCATCATCTACTAATGCTTGGATATAAAAAATACACAGTCCATTCCATGAACCATTTTTAATTAATAATCTGTTTAAAATAAATTAAGAAACAAAGCAAGTTAAACTGCTCAAAGAACTTTTTTATTACATAATGATATCTAATACATGTACATAAATAGTTATATATAAATATAAATGTATTGATAAATAGCCGTCCATAAATTGAAAGCACTATAATTTATATCACAGTTTATCGTACAATGTCACAAGAAAAAGTTGTTAGTAGATAGATATCAGCTGTCCTCTAGTTTCATCAGCATATTGTCAATCTCCCTGGAAAATAAAATATAAATGAAAATAATAAACAATAGCATGTGAAACCAACATGATTTTAACATATCATCAGAAGATCTACAAATCACTTTTTCTAATAACTGAAAACCTTGATATACTTCTAATAACTGAAAACCTTGATATACACATATCACTTCAAGGCATTGTTAACAGCCAGCGCACTTTCATGTAAAAACTCATGTAACACTACTTCCACATATATCTATTTATGGGAAGACAAAAAGAAAACCTTTAAAACAGCACGCCCCTAGTTTAATGTTCATTTTTAAGAAATATTTCAACAAGTGTCTGCTTTATAGAGTAAAAATATTGCCAAGGGTATATCTTAATCTAGCCTATGGTACTAGTAATCAAAGAAGTGCAAGTTTGACAATGTGTACAATTTACATCATGTCAATCCAGGCCCCGACATTTCCTTCAAACAGCAGAGACCTTGACACTGGGACTAACAAAGCCATTGTAGAGTCCCATACCTGTGGCGATAATCAGATTGTAATTTACTCCATGATTTTGGCTTGTGACTTCCAAATTATTATGCTTTTGCTTCTTTACCTATATAATGTTACTTCCAATATTGGACATTTAGCAGTCTCTGACTTCCAAAGTTTGGAACTTAATGGAAGCCCCGTTAATCTAAGTACTTACTGTAGTTGTTGTTCATATTGAGATCTTTGTCTTCGTAACATCTGCAGTAAATTATCCTCACTAAAATCTTCATCAGATTCATAGGGGACCTCTGAAAATGTTGATAAAATTATTTTAAAATTAGGGTAGGATGCCAATCTCAAACAAGAACATTATATTATGCATGGGGTGAAATAAATAGGTTTACCAAGGTGGAGCCTCAAAAAATGTTATATCATGGTATTCACAACAGCTGTCTGTAGGACACTGTCCTCAACTATTCTTAATTCTTGATAGTGAAATGTAATGTAAATGTAAAATTTTCTATGTTCAAAAAGGAACCATAATTCTGTCAAAGCCCAAGCTAGAATTATGGGCATTGGACATGGACTTATCATAACCTCAAATAAGTGTGTGAAGTTTCAACCCTTTGCCTTCAGTAGTTTTAATGATACCAACTTTCATGCAAAAACTTAACTAAAGTATGACATCTGCCCATGGCGTCTGGGTAAGTACAAAGATCCTCAAATTTTTCGAATAGTCAAGTTAAAAGTGTATCACCTTGATCTTGAATTTCATAAAGCATTTTCTTCTGTTTTAGTAAAATAGGATTTAATATTTTTGTTACACTTATTTAAACACATATATCTTTATTTTTCAATCAGTTTCTGGGTATATAAGACGGATACAACCTAATACTTCTTTACCTAATGACAGTAAGCTTTTCATAATGGGAAAACTAAAAAAAAATATTTTAAGACACATAACACTTAAGTGACAGTGTTTGATTGATCGGATTTTACGTCACACCAACGCAGTATAGGTCATATGGTGACATTCCAGCTTTACTGGTGGAGGGAAACATCAGGTGCCCTTCTGTGCATTATGTCAAGCACGAAAGGGCACCTGAGTAGAACCACCAAAGTTCCATAAGCTAGCTTGATATAGTGACATAATAAATCTCTTGATTTATTTTGTCCTAGTATTATCAAAGGTTAAAGCAGGTTACATTGGAGGACCAACAAACTTTTGTAACAAAGATAGAAACTCTCATGTATGAAATACAAACTCATAGCACTGATGGGCGTATTTGGTTACTGAATTGAAAATTTGATTACACTCATAAAGATTTATTTTGATTTGTTACATTAATCATTATATACTTACCATTGTGCTCAAGCTTATTATTATTACACTGATCATGTGACTGGTCATGTGATGGTGGTTTATGTTTCCATGGCAACTTATCAACAGAAGCTGATGGTGGCAGACTATCTACGCTTGATAACACTGTACTGGTGGATGTACTGAATAAATGCTCTTTAACAACCTGTAACAGTTTTAATAAGTATTTAGTAAGTCTGAGAAACAAACAGCATAAGTAATATTATTATGTGGCAGCTTGTATGATATTCAGCTATTTTGTTTTATATACTTTGTCCGGAATTAAGGATATTTCGGGTTTTTTCAAGCAAAAACGGGGGTAAAACAAGCTTTTATAGTTACAGCTTTGAGAACAAGAGCCATGTCAACATGGCCATCCCTCCCCAAATGTGTTTGCTCATTGGAAGAATGTATATGTAGTAGAGGAGAATAATTCCATTTTAAGAGGTCTTTTGGTAATAAAAACTGATGGCTGAAGTGATTACAGATTTGAAACCTATGTGAATACTGATGGCTGAAAATAAGGGCAATAACTGAAAAATGCAGGGTATGTTATCATTCTTGTGTGCTGCACTCCTCCTCAATGAGATCTATCCACCTTTGAAGTTTCAAGTTGATATCTCAAGGGCTTTTATAGTTATGCTCTGGACAAAAATTAAGCATGAAAAATAACAAAGGGCAATAACTGAAAAAATGTACAGGGTAGAGTTATCATTCTTGTGTGTTGTACTCCTCTTCAATCAGATCTATCCACCTATGAAGTTTCATGTTGATATCTCAAAGGCTTTTTAGTAATGCTCTGGACAATAATGAAGCATGAAAAATAACAAAGGGCAATAACTCAAAAATAACGAAGGGTAGAGTTATCATTTTTGTGCACTGTACACCTCCTGAGTGAGATCTATCCACCTATGAAGTTTCATGTTGATATCTCAAAGGCTTTTTTGTTATGCTCACGACAAAAATTAAATTTGAAATAGAACAAGAGCCACCGCCGGGCGGGGGCAACGCTCGACTTTTTACTTTTTCTAAACGCAAACATAGAAAGGTTTGAACATATATTGATGTTTCCT